CTTGTCCTATAAGAGAAGCTAACATGTGACATTAGTCTAAAGTTATTGACCTTGTTCAGCTTCATGCAACTAATCCTAAATACAGTAACTCTGGTTCCAGTAAGCTCCACATACAAACACTGGTGTGCATGGATTTAAAATGGAGGTTTGGGGTATACAGCATTTCCATTATCCAAACCTCACTTACACTACAACGTTTACCAACCACAGCTAACTACTGACCTTAACTTACCCATTGTTAAACAACGTCATGATTAAAGCGTGTGCCATACATTCTTCACTCTACCATTCAGTCACATTTTGCTCATTTAAATCTTCCGGTTTTCAACAAATCAACTCATGACTAAATTAAATCGGGTTTTCAGTGATTCGCCTTCACCTGAAAACCGGTCACATCATCCTCCATCACCGAGCACGAGAACCATTTCCAGTAGTGCACGTGCAGCTGCGACGCACAGAGGTGACGGGGTGTTTTCTCTTTGATCTTTTCCGTGGATCTGCATCCAGAACTACAGGGACCAAAGCAAGTCACTCCAGCTGCTGAACTATAAGCAGTAAAGCTTTGTAGAGGCTGAAAACCGTACGACACGTTTCAGGCCGACGGACCGTTATTCGGCCTTAAACCGAAGTGTGGCACAAAGGGAGAGCCGGCGGGGTGAGGTGTGCGGGACAAAGCTTACCTTGGAGCGGCAGCAGCAGCGGCAGCAGCGCACACAGAGCGCACAGAGAGCGGTGAGCCATGGCTACGAGTCCACACGAGCCGAGACGAGGTGCAGAAACAACGAGCGATCAGCGGGCGTGTTGGCACTCAGCGTGTCCGAAAGCCGCATCCAGGGCGTTCCCCACGGCTAGCTGAGACACACCCACTCTGCGCCACTTCCGGTTGCTTTTAAAACAAAAGTCCTCTCATTAGAGAGATGTTGCATTAGTTCATCTCGTCATTAGCGCAAGTACACTGAACAAGGGTTATGAATAGGTTTTACTATTATTTTATCTAAAAGCTCCACGATCGCATACACGGTTCCAACAGAGCACATCAGGTCGTTTAGTCGGTGTGCTTACTATTCATGTTATTTTTTTATTTTGTGCTAAGTGAGGGTGGGGTTTATTGCTGTCAAGTTCTGGCCCCTGTGTTGGTTACTTTGATAGGTCCAGACAACTCGCCCAGGAGACACCCAGGAGGTATCCTTGCGAAATGCCTGAACTAACTCCACTGGCTCTCCACTCCTCCACTCTACAGTCGAGTCTATACTTTGAGCCCCTCCCGATGGGTGAACTCCTCACCCTATTTCTAAGGGAGAGGCCAGCCACCCTTCGAAGAAGGCCCATTTCTGCTGATTGTACCTGCAGTGTTGTTCTTTTAGTCACAAACTCTGGGTAGTGATCGTAGGTGAGAGTAAGGACATAGAGTGACAGGTAAATCCAGAGCTTCGCTTTTACGTTCAGTTCTCTCTTCATCACTGCAGCCAATTCATCTATCAAACGCTTGCTCCCCTCTCCCTTCACTTGAAGCCCAGAGATACCTAAACTCCTCCACGTGGGGCAGCAACTCAACTCAACTTAATTAAATTAAATAATCTCAAAAAACTAGGCAGCACGGTGGCACGGTGGTTAGCACTGTTGCCGCACAGCAAGAAGGTCCTGAGTTCAATTCCAACATCAGGCCGGGGTCTTTCTGTGTGGAGTTTGCATGTTCTCCCCGTGTTTGCGTGGGTTCCCTCCGGGTACTCCGGCTTCCTCCCACCGTCCAAAGACATGCAGCTTGTGGGGATAGGTTAATTGGATAATCCAAATTGCCACTAGGTGAGTGTGAATGGTTGTCTGTCCCTGTGTGTTGGCCCTGCGACAGACTGGCGACCTGTCCAGGGTGTACCCCGCCTCTCGCCCTATGACAGCTGGGATAGGCTCCAGCGCCCCCCGCGACCCTGAAAAGGATAAGCGGAAGCGAATGGATGGATAAACTCAAAATCACTGAGTTTGTTGGACAAAAAGGCAATGAAAGCAAAAGCTAAACAAAAACAGTAAAATAAGAACTATGCACAGTGTTTGGCATCTTTCTCAAAGACTGGAGGAGCCACAGATTAATGTATGAGGTTCTCTATCACAACCACAACAAAGGTTTTTCCCCCAAAGATGATTCGTTGTTTTATTAAAAGTATCGACAGTTTCTACATATGACCTGCTCCGTAAACTGATTACAAAATCAGAAACACAACATACACAGGCCCCAGTACAAAAACACTTTTTTCTTTCCTTGAGTTTTTGTTTACATTTGTTGAGACACGTCAGCATTTTAATAAAAGTGAGAAGGGCTGTGACACACGTGGGGAATACAGAGAAGTGCCGTAGCATTAGGTATCTGAAAGTGCTGTGCCAGTCCAAGCACACTGATCTCAATCCCAGCAACCGGCTGACTCTCATGTCTGCTGCTGCTGCTCCAGCATGACTTCACAGGTGCGTCCCAGTTCTCCCAGTTTGACCTTGGCATACTCGGCTCGGTTCAGTGCCATCTGACAGTCCTTCCTGGCTGAATAGGTAGAACCTTCATGTGGCTGACCAGTCGCTACCTGGAGAAAGAAAAAGGAGAAACAAACTCGAATCTGTTGCTCACAATATTTCTATCATGGAGGTAAGTTCTTCATTTATAAAAACAAATATTAATAATTAAAAGAAAAACTGCATCAGTTTGTATTTGTGAACCTCATCTATCTATTAGATTTATGACTTTAAAAATTTCCTACATAACTCTTAATTAAAAACATGTTCTCTTCAGTTTTACAGTAGTACAGAGAAAACCCCAACAATCAGACGACCCCGAGCACTTTAACCTTAACATACTGTAGAGTTTTTACCTTTAAACAGAAAGCACACGACTGTTGTTGTGATTTGGTGCTATATAAATAAACTGAACTGAATTCAGGGTCACATGATGCAGCCCCATCTATAAACTGAAACTTATTAAAAAGGAAAGTGTTAAGCCTGATCTTAAAAGTAGAGTGGGTCTCTGTCCTCTGAACCCAAACTGGGAGCTGGAGCAGACCGCTAAGGGCTCTGCCTCCCATTCTACTATCAGGAGCTCCAGGAACCACAAGTAAGCCTGCATCTCAGGTTATTATCCTAATTCATAGTATCCTAACTCTGTTAGGATAATATCAAATCTTGAAGATATGATGAAGCCTGATATTTTGAGACCTTGTAAATGAAGACTTTAAATTAAATTCTGGATTTAACAGGTGGAAGAAATTTGCCATTTCTAGTGGAGGTGAAACCGTTTCTGAAACAGGTCTGCAGCTGTGGATTGAACCTGTGTAAGGTAGCGGATCTGGCCACTTAGTTCGTTCTCCACTCGGCTGACTGAGTTCTGGAACTGGATGAGCTGTCTGTCCATGAAGCTGGCATTGTGTTTATCTTTGGAGAGTTCAAGAACAATGTTACCTGCAAGGTCAAGCATAAACATAGAAACGTGACTTAAAAAGACTCGATTAGACACAAAGGCAGAGAGTAAATTTAAAACTTGATTCTTTGTTTTAGTAAAGGACTGTGCTGTGCTGAGGACTGGTCGTTGTTGTAGAGTCAGCCAAACAAATGGAAACAAATTGTGTTGTTTGTTTTGTGTCTAAGGATACTGAAAATTGGTTCTTTGCTAGGTTTCCTGGTATGTGTATGGCTTATTAAACCAAAACCATTTTAAATGTAACAGGTCTGAGGAGTAATTTGAAACTGAGTGAAAAATCCTCAAATGTCGAAGGAAAAACTTTCAGAAAGCCTGGAAACTGCGAGCGAAACGAGGGGCTGAGTTCAGACTTTTGCTGAGGAATACATTTTCCCCTCTGTGATAAAAAACAAATCTTTACAGCGAATAATGATCAGGCAGCGATCTGTTGGAAACAGCTAGGTGGAAGTTACAGGATCTCTCGGGTACTTGTCCTACTGTCGGATGAAGAGCATCAGAAAATCAGGCAAAAGCAATCAACGATGCACGGTTTGATTAACAGCCGCAAGAAGACACCCTCTCACCGGCACACTGCAGCACCATCGCTATCTCCTTCTCCACATCCTCCAGCGCCCTGAGCCTGTCATTAGCCATCAGCAGGCGGGAAGCAGCCGCTCTCCGAGGACCAGCTCAGCACAGTGATCCAAGGTGTGACCAAAGCCACTTAATCGAGTTTAAACGGAAGGAAACGTACAACTACTGCAGTCCCTGCAACTTTAACGCGTTATGGTTGAGAGCGGGGTAACAACAAAGAGCTAAAAACTGACGTCACTGAAATATGACGGCATCAGAGTCGCACAGTAGTGACGTTCGCTTGGCGGAGAGGAAAGATGGCTACATCGGCTTGGCTGCATGGCCCATCTGCTATGCGACTAACTGAGGGTTTGGTGTCTGTTCTGAAAGAGCAGCGTCCGGAGCATCTACCCGCTCTGCTAGCAGGCTACAGGGAGCACGGCGTGTTCCAGACACAGGTAGGGCCCGGCCCGAGCGAGCTCCGCGGCTGGAAGCTGCTTCAGCGTTAGCCTGCCCTCGCTGTGCGGCAGCCGCGAGAGGCTTTGTTGTACAGTGGCTGACATCTGGAAGTATGGCAGGACCATGTGCAGCAGGAGCCGAGCTGGTTCCGCGTTTCTTAAACGTTTTGATCTCACTGTTCTCTAAAACCGTCTTGTCTTTGCAGAGCGCGTGCGCCGTTGGTGGTCTCGTGGGTTTTAGCAATGCCAAACTGGGCTCGAGCAAGACCAGGTGAGAAAGGACTACCTCAATCAGCTGTTGTCATAGGCTGATCATACTACAGTTTTTAATGTTTTAAGATGTATACCAGCACCTGAGCACTGTCCTGGACCAGGGGAGGTGTGTAGCCGCATTTGTCCTTAAATTTGCTGGCTGTCTGAGTGGTGTCCAAAAGTCATGTGGACTTTCTGGATAAGGGGAAACGTTCAGGGGAAAACCTGGACTTGTTAGGAGAACACGGTGTCCATCCCACTTTGAATGGAGCAGCTCTCATTTCTAGAAATATGGACAAATTTATTAAACCCCCCAAAATATGACTATCCAGAGTTGGGACCAGGAAGCAGAGTTGCAGTCTTACACGCCTCTCTGCAGCTTCTCTCCTCCTGCTACCCCCCAAAACCCATCTCCATGACTGTTGTCCTCCAAAACAACAAACAATCAGCAAAAAATGATTTAAAGAAAAGAAACAAAAGTATCCACAACTGTGCCGTAAAGTGAAACCGTGAAGTGTGGATTATTAAACATTCGCCCTCTGTCTTCTTAGTTCCTGTTATTACATGACAAACAAATCGATTTACTCTGCCTTACAGAAACCTGGTTACAGCAGGATGATTGTGTTAGTTTAAATGAATCAACATCCCCGAGTCACTCGAACTACCAGAATCCTCGAAGTGCAGGCCGAGGAGGGGGTGTGGCAGCTCCTACTTCAGCTTATCAATCAACCAAAGACTCAGAAACACTAAGCCTCGTCCACCCCAGCTGTGAAACTCAGCATTTAGCCTGAAAAGCCAGTTTGCTGCTCTCTTAAACAAAAACATCCATAAAGCTAGAACGTCTCACTGTTGATCACTTATTAATGGAGTACGAACAACCCCAGGTTTTCATCACGGCACAGAAACGGCTTTAGTGAAGGTTACAAATGATCTTATGGCCTCTGACAGTGGACTCATCTCTGTGCTTGTCCTTCTCGATACTGTCGACCATCAGAGTCATGCTTAAAGACACTGCGCTGCAGGGATTTGAATCATGACTGTCTAATAGTCTTCTGTTTTTTGTGAATGGAGAGTCCTCTTCACACACTGAGGTTAATTATGGAGTTCCCCAGGGTTCAGTGCTAGGACCACTTCTGTTTACGCCGCGTACTTTGTGCTTTTACAAATGATCATCTATGCTACAGGATATGATGTGTGTTTTATTAACCTCGGTTCATTCTAACACATTGATGAGTCTCCATGCGAATCAGTAGCATTTTGTTCTTAAGCCCTCATCTACTCACCTTTAGCTCAACATCTCCTGTTGATACAATGTTATGAATGTGAATATAATTTCACACAGTCGAAACAGGTTCACTTTGATACTGTATGTTTCTAACATGATTCTGTGTGAGCAGGTTCGAGGGGCTCTGCCTGCTCTCCATGCTGGTTAAAGACAGTTCCAGCGATCTATTCCAGCAGCACTGCCTGTCGTGGCTGCGCTCCCTGCAGCAGGTCATACAGGTAAAGTCACGTGTCGGCTGTTATCATTACAATATTGCTATTTTTCTCCATTTTATCTTAAGGCCTAAAAATTAAAGGTTAGCGTTTCATTTTTAAAATTAAAAATACTTTCTGTGTTTTTGTTCTTCACTAGTCTCAGGCTCCAGTTGAGACTGTGCAGCTAGCAGTGAACGTTCTGAAGGACTTGCTGCAATACTCGTCTCAGCTAGCAGAGCTGGCCAGAGAGGTTGGCCTCAACTCCATCCTGGGCATCCTCACATCCCTGCTGGGTCTCAAGTCAGAGGTGAGGTGACAAGGCGGTGAGTGGAAGGGCCCACCAGGAGGGCTCCGGAGCCCCTCTGGTGGAGTGTGTATCCAGGTACTTTGACACGCAGTTAGTGCCACAGAATGTGAGTGTTAGCCCTGCCACAGACTGGCGACCC